CCCACCCCCAACCCCAAATATAATCCACTCTGCAACCCTCATTGCGTACTCCTACGATAAACATAATGCCCTAAAATATAATACTTTTAAACTATTCTCTCCCCCATAGACTTCAATGCCGTAATCAGTTCTGTTTTATGACACGTTTAGTTTCCATGTAGGATTCTACTCGATACCAGTACGTCTGGATTTTTGCTCTGATTAAACGGAGCCCGGATTCGTGTAAAATATTTTTTTTCTACCACATCCCCCCTGGAAACCTATCTGTGACTGGTACCTCTGCAGGTTGCTGGACTTAAGAGAATATTTGCTAATTCTGTTTTGTCTTTCTTACCAAACACATCTTTTATCAAGCGATTTCCAACATGCACAACCTTACTTCTGTTATGTGTTTGGACTGCGGGCTCACATTGGAAATTCACTGAGTTCCTTTCTTTTGCGAATGTGTTTCAGCTCCAAGAGACCCTCGCCTTTACTCCTGCCCCATCTACAAGAAGCCCGTCCGAACGGACTTGAACTACATTGCTCCTGTAGAGCTCAAGACCACCCAGCCCCCTGAACACTGGGTGCTCCGTGGGGTGGCCCTCCTCTGCGACGTGAAGTAATGCAGTGACTCACCTTTCCCCCAAGTAGTTTGGAAAGGAAAATGCAGCATTCCCATGTTCAAGACTTCCCTTCCACTTGGTGTTCTATTAGGTTGCTTGAGAATTAACAATTTATGTTACTTCCTTCAACTCTTGTTAGACATGCTGGCATTTAACCTCTTTCATCAAGAGTTGCCTGTCACTGTAATTGTTAAGAAGTTGTCTAGTGACTTAAAATAATAAAAAATTCCCACTTTCTGACGAAATCCAAACGTCAACTCCCTAATAGATATATTTTCTTATTCCTGGAATCCTGATCACTGGCTGGGCTCAGCTGACAGTATTTCCTGGAAACAATATGATTATCTGGGTGGTTTTGATGACAGCCAAGTTCTCTGAGATAACAGGGGAAAGTTTGTGCTGATTTTGCTTCTATTACCTTTTTGCATCTAGGTCAAGTTAACAGAGTTCTTCTCAGTGATTCAAGCAGCCAATTAAAAAGGTATTTCTTAAAAAAATTGCAAGAATGAGTTGAGAAAGTTAAGAAGCAAGTCACACATATGTATAGATTAAATTTAGAATAATGTCCAACTCCACTGGTCATTAGTAATGAGATACTAATTTTTACTCCTTAGAATAAAAGGAAAGTTGAAGGTGTATTTGAATTGTCAGGTGGTCTTTTTAAAATGGATACACTCACAAATTACTGTTGTTGTCTCCTTTTAATAGATTCCAACTAACAATGACCCCTCCTGGTCCGAGTAGAAAACCATGGGGTTTTCTAGACTCTGTAATCTTCGTGGGAAAGAGAGCTCAGTCTTCTCTTCCCAGGAACTCCTGAGTGTATTTGAACTGACAATCTCTTGGTTAACAGTGGAACACTTAACCCTAGATCCACCAGGTCTTCTCCATGAATTGCTGGAGCAATGGAAATTGACCCGAGCATTCTGTAAAACAAGAAAACTTTGACAGAAAGTCATGCAAACGTTCACTTGATTTGGTCTTTATTTTCTCTCCTACAAATTTATGCTAAGGAAGCAATCCACCAGCATGAAAACACATTGTGTGTAAAAATGTTTTCATACTCGAAAAAAAAACCCCACAAAACAGAAATAATCTAGATGATCAAAAGTAAGACTGTGTTTAAGCAAAGTAAGAGACAGTTGGCAGCCAGGAAAGCCAACATGGGATGTTTCAGTAAAGGAGAGTGACTCATACATAATGTTATGTGCAAGATGAAGTTGGAAGCTCTATCAAAGATAATATTGATAACACTCTGATTATGACTGTAAAATGTGCTTACATATTGACAAAGGCTAGCAGACAACATGAAAAAAGCCAGAGTTGTGTTAGCATGGCAAACAGTGGGGTGGTGGGGAATGTAATGACTGGAAGGAAAGAGAAGAAAGATACAAGTCTTAGGTGATGGGTGGAAATGTCACATGGACTGCTGTTAATAAAAAAAAATATTATCTAAAGAAATCTTTCCTTTTATTCTAATTTTATTTAAATTCTCGTTTTAAATGATAAAGTGTTTGAAAAAGAATATCTTGACTGAACACTTGGTCAGAATTAAATTAGAATTGTGATTCACAAGCATTTGGTTAGCTTTAGGTCGACACAACTGGTAGTTTCTGTTGGTAACAGAAGAGTTGTATTGGGAGCTCTGGTGGCCTAATGGCAAGAAACTGCACTACAATCTCAAAGGCATGCTGTTCGAATCCACCAGATCCTCTGCTGGAGATGAGATGGGGGCAGTCTCCTCCTGTGCCAGTCGGATCTGATTCAATGGTTCGCAAGAAGGAGAGGGGGAAAAAAGCAGACTTTTATTTAAATAACCATCTGTACACAAGTGTGTGTCCTTCCTACATTAATCTGAGTAATGGATGTCATTATTTTGCTTATTCTCACTTAGTTTTGAGTAGCTCATGTGGCCCCTGCCCTCATCAACACTCCTGTTTTCATTTGAACAAGCTTCTTTGCGTATGAATTAATATTTCCACTGGTTTGTGTGAATTGTGTGAAGCATATATTTTATCTTGAGGAACAAACGACAATGGAAAAATGGGAAAAATTAATTAAAAATTGGTAAATATCTTCATTGTGATTGGTTTTTAGTGACAAAGGATAGCTGTCATTGTGATTAGATGGTATTGAGTCCATTTTTGACTCTTGGTGACCCCACATGCATATCAGTATGCCCCAGGAGGGTTTTCTTTTTTCAGGTCTTTTGTCTATGAAGCTCATCGGTATGTTTGAACCTTTAGATTAGCAATTGCATGCTTAAATATTACATCACCAGAACTGCTTAACTGCCATGGAATTTATCTAGAAATAAGCTTTCATAAGTGAATGTTTATCTATAATTCATATAATTTTGCAGTTGCAGAGTGTGTTGGCATAAATACATGAAACTTGGAGATCCAAAGTTGAAAAACATGCCATAGGAACAGGAACTTTGAGAGCTAATTCATCAGGGAATGTCTCTGAAGCAATGATAAATCACAGCTCTCCCCACAGACTAGCTCCTTATCCTCAAAGAGGGCTCTATATTCTCCTGAACCTGAGGCAAGGGTTTACCAAGTCACTGGGCCTGGTGGCTGATGGGGTAAGCACAGGATGCCTTTTGATGTAAATAAAATATCAAGGTGGATCTGGTGCCGTTGCTGAGTGATGTTACCCAGTGGCTTCCACTTCCTAAACAACATGCCTCTGGAAACTCTATGAACTTTGAGAAACTACTATAGTCATAGAAAGGCTTCAGGTCTTTTGTTCATAGGGTCACTATGAGTCATGCTCTACTTGACAGCAATCAACAACAACTTAGTGTTGACTTGCCACTGATTCATTGAGACCATTTATAATCAGAATTAAACACCACCTGGTCTTGTACCATCCTCATGATCTTAGTTAATGTGTTGTTGTTGTGTAGCGTTGAATCAGAACCAACTCATAGCTGAACCTCCATCAAGTTTTCAGAGCCCATCTCCCCAAAGAGCTCTCCCACAACGCTTTTGGTGAGTAATAATTGTTAACCCTGTAGATCATTACAGAGTAGTTCAGAGTGATAGAGCGACCTTTCATTTGTATTTATAGGGATTTATTAAATGTTTCTATGCCTTCAAGTTGTGCTGATGGAGAAGAGTCTTGAACATAACATGGACCACCAAGAAAACAAATAACTGTGCCTTGGAGAGGGTGAAACCAAGTTTCTCCTTGAAGGCTAGGATTTTGAAGCTCCATCTCACATACTTTGGGCATGTGGCCAGGAGAGACCAGTCTTTGGAGAGGACATCATGCTTGGAAGGGTGGAAAACCAGTGCAGAAGAGGAAGACCCTGGAGGAGATGGCTTGATACAGTAACTGGGGCAATGAGGACAGGTGTCAAGAGTCAGTGAGACTGGCTCAGGACAGGGCAGGCTTCAGAGATGATGCACATAGAGTTGCTATGAGTCTCGGGTGACTCAGCGACACAATAACAACAACATCTGACATTCACTTTGTCAGCTATAGTCTACAAGCAGTTGGACTGCTAACCTAAATGTGGCAGTATGAATTCTGGGCAGTCTTCTCTTGTACAATTTACAAACTCCTGAAAACACATGAGAGGCCAGCTATCTGTGACTTCCAATTGAGTGGCAATGAATTTTTGGTTGGGTTTTGTTTTGTTTTCAGGTTGAGTGTCAGGCAAAGAGCCATGGTGGAGTAGTGTGTTACATGTTGGACTGCTAACTTAGATGGTGGAGAGTTGCTATGAGTCTGAACTGACTTCATGGGGTTGGGTTTGTTTTCTTTTTTTAGTATGTTAGGCACTGTTCTGTACCAGTCAAGAAAAAACCAAAACAGAACAAAACAAAGCCCACTACAGCTTCTAACAGAGTTTACAAAGTGGAAAAGAGAAAATAAACTATCTTTCCGGTATGTAAACAACTGAGGCTTATGCATCATTAAGAAAAATAATATATTCCATTTGTAAGTAGAAGAGAGACTATGGCACTTATATAGGTCTCAAGATAAGGTAAGGTTCAGATCCATGGCTTATAGGGTCTCTATGAGTCACAGCTTGACAGGAAATAACACCACCACCACATTAACAGTCGCTCTTATGAGAACAGCACTTGTCTGTCAGTTTGCTGTGCAGGGATGACTTGCAGGTTGCAGTGCTGCAGGAAGCTATACCATCAGTATTTCAAATTTCAGTGTGGTCACCCATCGTGGACAGATTTAAATAGAATTTTGGACTAAGACTGACCAAACTGCAGGAATTGGCCATCCACTTCTAAAATACCAGGTATTCAAAAAGTTCTACGAATAATAAAGGAACATTGTTAGACATAGTATAAAACAATGTTCATATCTGTTGTTCATAGTGTTAGTAAAAGCTGTAGTTATCTTAATGACATCTAACAATAACAAACAACAACAGCTTAACAGATAGAGCCACACTAAGCTAAAATCCACAAATTCATTGCTACAAAGTTGATTCTGACTCATATTAACCCTCTAAGACAGAGAAGAATGACCACCCCATTGAGTTCCCAAGCTTATAATATTGACAAAAGCAGATTGTCCCACCTTTCTCCTCATCCAGTAGCTGGTGAGTGCCAGCTACAGACACTTTGATAGCTAGCTAGCACTTAACCACTGTGTCACCAGGGCTCTTTTAGTATTATTGTTATGTGTCATTGAATTGATCACAACACATAGTGATACTACGAACAATGGCTCTGAACCATGCACTGTCCTGAGCCAACCTCATCGTCTCTGACATACTTCATACCATCCAGAAATAAATGCACTTACCACTCTTTTTAACCAAATAATTTGAAAATATCAAAGTCTTGTAATTTTGTGATTGTGCTTGGGAATGCTGGCAAACATTAGATCAGCCCAGCCCCAGCAGGGCCATGTCCTCTTAAGAAGCAGCAGGTCCAGAACCAAGTGTCCTTGAACAGCATCTTTACTTGGAATGCTCTTCCCTGCTGATTTGATTGGATCGTAGGTAAATGTTCTGAGAGAAG